TTTTAACCTGAGGAAGGAATTACCAAAAGTTATGTCTTCTAGAATAAAAGAAAGAACAAATAGGAAACGATTATCAATCTAACATGTTTCACTTTTATTAAAACATCCTCAGAGAAAAAAGAATTCTGGTATTTTTACTTTTGTGTTTGATTTTCATTGGTTAATCATGTTTAACATGCATTTGACTTGTTAAACAAACATTAGTATAATTTATGGTGTCCTGAATTCAAGGAGAGATAATGTCTCTCTTTGAAGTTCCAAGAAATTAATGACTTCCAAGCCTGACTAAAAAAAACTATAAATATTGCTTTATGTATGTAAGAGTACAATAATTCTAGTTTGTCTATGTGAAAATCAAATGATATATATTAATGTGTGTATGTCTAATAGACATTGTGTATAGTGTTTTTTTGCATGTTAATTTGTGAATGCTTTTATATACATACTGTTTGTTTTATCTAAACACACATTAGATTCTTTAAGAATAGATTCAATAAAGATTGGTGATGTAATGTTTTTGATGTGTTTATAATTAATATAGTACTTTCAACATAAAGAATTGTTCTTTTTTTAATTAGGGTGACATTTGTAGAATCAAAGTTATGGCCAATGTATTATGAGCAAGTTTAAATGGTTGTTAAATGTAAATCTCTTATGTTTGTAGATACAGTCTTTTAGACTTCAAGATGTCTCTCCAATATAAGTGCTTATACATTGTAAGAAATTTATTTAATAAGTACTATCATCTAGAAATAACTAATTTATTTACAAGATTTGTAGAAAGTGTTAGAGGGTAGGATTATGAATTTTGTGTTGTTTGACACTACCAATAGTACTTCCAGCAACACAAATATTATGGGTAATATTTGCTAGGAATGGAATGCTGAAAACATTAGTGTCAGTCTGTGGTCTTGGTTAAAGAAAATTGCATATATCCCATATAAAACCCCACCATATCATCAGCAATCAAATGGGATTGAGAGCATGTTCTCCTCAGTGAGATGAGATTGAAAGTTTCTTACCAAAACTATTAGTTATAGAATTATACCACATGCTGACAGATTAGAAAATTCCGTCTGCATTAATGGGGATGGGGGTACAGATTAGAGCCCCATTAACCATGTCTTACTCCATTAATGAAAAAATGTGGTATAATAAAAATAGAAAATCTGCTCCTTAAAGGGCAAATTTTATAATGCAAAAGGGACAGAGAATGCAACATTAATAGTTAAAAAGAGTAATAATTTTCTGGCCTATGCAGATCAAATAAGATCCAGACTAGAATACAAATGGGAGATGGAAATTGAACTAGAAACAAAGTCCAGCTTGGACTGTATAAACCAACAGGAAGTGGCTGATGAGGAATCAATGCAAGACCAAGAGTGTTTGGACAATTTAAGCAGTGATGATGGAGAACAGGAAGTCAAAATAGACAGAGAAACTTGTGATCAGTGAAGGGCATAAAGCCTATTTGCTTCAGAGAGATGTAGTAGTGGTTGGTTAGTGCTACAACTAATTAGCATATGTCTAGGAGTAAACACTACATATAGACTTGCTATGTAAGGTAGTAACAATAGTCTTGGACTGTAGAACCAATACTGACTGCACACGACTACAATCCTTACTTGGAATATTATAACAAGTATATTTTATATACAAGATAATAACCAAGGGATATTCTTTGGCACCAATCATTTGTTAAAAATGTGAAGCACTCCTCCTCTTTAGGTATTAAAAGTAAGAGAATTGTTAACTTGAAAAGAAATTGTCGCTTTTTAGTTATACAACTACATATTTTAGATGAACACTAATAATATAAAGAAGCCAACTGTAGAAAATTGATCATGGGAAGATTGTAGCTGTTAGTATAAAATAATTAAAATTTGAAGATTAATATTTATTATTAAAACAAATATAATCTATGTAGTCATTTAAAATTGCACAACTCTTCACTTGCATTATATGTAACCATATAAGTGAAAAGTGTCAATTATTTTTACAGTAAATTATTTATGTCCTTTCTAATGTTACAGGTCATATCAGAGAACCTTAAAACTTTTTAACATTCTTTTATCAACTATGGTTTCTTCTACATAATGTAAAATCCTTGTTTGAAGATCTTTTCCTCAATTCCTGTTTTATATATATATATATATATATATATATATATATATATATAGTTCCATACAATAAAATGCTTTTCACATTTATTATTTTTATCCATAAACCCAGACTATTTCTTTGTTTATTTTGAGAAAAGTTGTAATTTTAGTGTCAGCTGAAAAGCACATTCGTTTGTGAATCCAGAAAGTTTACTAAGTATTTTCCCCCAAAACAAACAGCATCTTTACCTTCATTTTTTTTTTTTTTTTTTTTTTTTTTTTTAAATCAAACTTCTTGAAATCTTTAACTTTTACTTAACATAGGGAAAAAATTTTCTTGGCGTTATTTTACATTTCAGGTCCTTTCAAAAGTTTGCACAGATATCAGTTCAGAAATGGAACAATATGAAAATTTTAAATGCTATTTTTGTTCCACTTTTCCTACCCCCCCCCCCCACTTCCTGCCTCTTAAAAGAAGGGAAGAGACGACTATATTATCTTTGACATTTTCTATTTGGGATACTTTTTATGAACATTTTTCTGAAAAAGATCGTTAAATCCTTGCTAATGATGTATTACTCGTGTCAGGACTTTGCCAATTATTATACTCTCTTTTCAGATAAAACCAGCTGGATGCCACTATTGTTGTCTAAGGCAATTTTAGTCATTTTTTGCTGTGTTTCTTTTTTTTTTGTCTTTCTTACTTTCTTTTTTTTTTTTTTTTTTTTTTTTTTTTACTTGCATTACCTGGAATTTTTGTGCTGATAATACAGAACATTTCTTAAATTCAGTGATCAGATAGAAAGAAGTATTTTTTTACATGCTTTAAAATACTAACCTTTTCCAAATGGCTTAAAATCAGAAGCCAGTTTTAAACGTTTGCAGATGAAATTACTAATTTACATCTTAATTCATCTCGCACCTGCCTCGATATTTAACTGTCTTATTCAAAATCTATGCACATACCAAATTGGGTACAGATTACAACTAATTTTAAAAATCAGAAATATTAAAAAATAAATACTAATGTATTCTGTTAGGAAAAGAAAATGACAGTTAAAATTAAAATCCGTACAAATTTATGAAGTAAAACAAACTACTGATGAGAATTCCTCAAAATTATTGATTGTTTATTCAACTCAATAAAAGTTTGATTATTATGGTTTACAATGTGCAACATTAAAAAAAAAAAATCATTTCAAATGCAAGAATGACAGTAAAATTGATACAGATTCATATAAATTAACATCAACTGATAACATTTAGATTATTATTTTTGGGAGAAATCACTAGGAGAAATATTAGAAAAACCATTTGTACAAAAACTTTCTTAAATGCAGCCTAATATTCAGTTTAAATAAATTCAGATGTTCAAATGGCAAAGAAAATATTCTGAACATGTACAAAAGTTTATCTTAAATGTTCCCACGTTTAGCTTTTACTACTATAAAGTTATTATAAGCAGCATTCCAAAAGTAATGGCTTCTACTTACTTCCATTAAAACTGCAAGATACATGGAGCACAATAACATATTTGAATAAAGCAAGTTTTCAGCTAAAAACAAATTATTTTTCCAGATAGCCATTGACTATACATTTTCGTTAGTGATTAACAAGAATGTTCATTTTCTATGTTGATAGCTCAGAATGTAGCTTGTCATATACCTCATTGTTGCCACTGCGGAAAAGCATTATATACCAACCAACTGGCTCTTTCAGATGCCATTTTACCAGACTGCCACTCAGTTGATATCTGTAACAAGTAGAAAATAAAATAAAAATAAAGTGTGAGTTATTCGTATTAATGTTCAATGTCTACAACCCTAACCAAAAACATCAACCTCTTAATTTGGGGGCCAACATAATAAATTAGGAAGCATTACTTTTGTAGAAATATTTGTGATTTGTTTTAATAATTTAATCCTTACATTGACATTTATGGGTATGAAAAGTTCATAAAAATGGTCTGTGATCAGAGCATGTAATAGGAAGTGCTTATAATCATCATCGTGTCTGCTTATATCATCAAGCTTAAATCAACTGGTTTAAGAAGCAACATGTTAACAGCAAAGCCATAAAACACTCAACATAAGTTGATTTCCTAGTCTCATCTACTCTCTGTCTGTCTTTATAATTTGATCCACCCTTCCATTTGTAAAGATCAACATTAACATGGATTCTTTCAGATATGTTTACACTATAGAGTCAAGGGTGTGGCATATGTTAAAGAGGTTGATTTCTTTTGTGGCTTAATATTTTACAAGTCATACAACACTAAATGTATTTATTATTTGACTTACTGCTTATACTTATAACCTGAATTTTTCCAACTTTGATCTTTTCCTCATTCATTTTCTCCTTTCTCTTCTCATTTCCCTCTCACCATAATTTAAACCAGCAAATCGCCCTATTAGGTCTGCAAAAGTTCCTGGTGACTTTTCTTTTGTTTCCCCACCCCTTAAACAATAAACTGAGTCTTTATTTAAATGACATGTCCTTTTGAGATATAGACAGCCATGATTCTATACAGCCCTCTTTATTGTAATATCTGCAAACTAAGCATTGCTATGATTGTTTTGGAGGAAAACAGTGCAGTGGTTCCTGTTGCCTTCTCCATGGTTTTGTATTTTAAGTTGACCTAGACTGATTGCTGATTAAACAGCCTAGTCTGTCTTGCCAAAAGAAAAATTCAAAGTTAACATACTCAGTCAGAATTTTGAATTTGGCTTGTTGATTCCATTTTTATGTACCATTGATTGTTACTACACTTGCATATCAAACTGAACACATGGTAGATTTTTTTAAATTCTGGGAACTTTTGTACACATCTAATATTTTTAAAAACATGTATTTGACTGTTCTAAAGAAAAACTAATAAAATTCTTTTTCTTTGCTTAGGTCATGTGATGCAGATGATGTCTGATAGAATTGGGACAGGTTTCAGTGAAAAGGAAGTTTTGAACATATTCTCTGATGTATGTGAAGCTGTTTCTCGATTACACCACTGCCAGACTCCAATTATACACAGAGATCTCAAGGTAATAAAAAAAAATATTACTTTCCACTGTTTTTCATGAACACAGCTGTTTGTTTACCTTGTATATTGGGTTTCTAAGATACAGTATCCCCATACAAAGTATACAAGTTTATTTTTTTTTATTTTTTTTTATTTTCATGTGTATAATGAAAAAAGAAGGCTGTTTTAGTTGTATGCTGATTAACAGAACAAAAGCTAACCCCACTTGAAAGGAGGTAGTATCAATGAAAAGAAAATAGTTATTATGCCAAAATACCTGTTCAGTTTTAGATGAAAAATTTGTTCAAACAAAAGTAACCTAAGATATTGTTGTTAGTGTTTAAAGTTCTAGATTACTTACATGTTGTGTACATAAGTGGAGGGAGGGTCTTTATTATTATTACTTCTACTATTCTCACTAACTATTTTTTTGTATAACTAGCATGATTTCCTGAAACAAATGTCAATATTTGTGAGTATTACTGATCCTCAGTATCATATTTTTTTTTGTTTTGATTGATTGATTTTCTATGGATTCTCAACCTTTTGCAGGTTATTTAAAGCCAGAAAATATTTTTAGATTGTAAGAATTTTTTTTAATAATGATAGTTTAGTGATGCAAGTCTTACTAACTAGCCCATAGTTTGGGGAGAGGAGGTGGGTTCATGCCTTTTCCAAGAGTATTTGCATGTAAGTGAATATAATGAACCCAATGAAATTTGGAACTCTGCTCTACAATTAACAATTCCAAGCTATTATCCATTACACCACCTGCACATCCAAGCTTATAGCACCTGGTATTCCCAAGTTGTCACTGTACTGGCCAGGCTTGACATTGCTTAACTTTGGTGATCATGCAGGAACTGGTATTTCAACATGCTGTAGCTGTAAACCACTCAGTATCAGAGCAAATAAAATAAAGGAAAAGCACTTTTCAAATTAGATTGAATTGTTTACCAAGTTTTTATTACAAAAATGTTTCAATATTCCATTTTTAATTTTGTACTCTATTGTGGATATGCATGATGGTTATCAGCACAGGAAGTGGAATCAGCATGCAGAGTTCAGATTCTAACTGAATCTATTTTGTTCACTTTAATATCTTTGGAAAAGGCAAGAATCTATCTTGTTTCAGCTATGGATTAAATAGCAGGAAAGGCTGGACTCTCTTGCCTTGAGTGGTAGCCAGTCTAGGAAAAGGATAAAACTCACTTTAAAACCAGCCTGATGGGTTCAATTGGGTTATCACACCCAGGATACACCCACTGCTGTTATGGCTGTAGTACTTGTCATATCACAGTGACCTAAATAGGTTATGGGACTCATGATCATGATTGACAAACTGCATCCAAATGTTCTAAAAAGATTTTCATAGCTCCACTCAGTCATATCAGTTTTACAAAAATAGTTAACTCTTGAGCAATACACAGATTAAGCAAAACTGATGGTGTCTTCTTTTTTCCACCTCCTGTCATTAAATCAGTGCAATATATCAGTTGACCTGTAAAGCTGATTTCTTTTTGCTCTCTTTTCTTGTCTACCCTGAAGGCAAAATCTTCCTGACTGTACTCTTTGATTGGAAAATAGATTAATTCAAAAAGTTACATCACATTATTATTTTTAATTAATTTATTTTGTTCCTAATGATTTCTTTCTTTTATAATAAAATTGCCCAAGAGAAAAATCCCAGTTATATTTGTGGAAAAAATATAGTATAAAATGTATCTTAGTAAATAGCTTTTTTTCTTTTTATTATTATATCCCCTACAAAGTGCAAATAATACTACAAAGAAATTTAAAGAGCAAATATATACCTTCAAGCACTATTGGGTACCATAAAATGTTCTCTTACATGAGATTTGGACAATATTGATCAGAATTATTTAATACCACATAATATCTTGTAATGTAAGTGCAGATTTTAATAATTTAAAAAAATATTTATATTTAATGAATTATTCTAAGCTTTTTTCTCCACTCTTTCTCTTTCAATATGTAAAGAGCTGTATATATTCTTACCTAGCTATCATGTATCATAGCTAAAAATGTAAAACTGCTAAATAAAGTTTTGTCATTTTAATTTAGTCCTCATTAGCTCAGATATAGTTACTAGTTCTCAGCTATTCTAGATCATCAATTTGATTAATCTAATTAAATTGACTTGACATAAGGACTTTCTGAAAAGCTTTTCAAGCATAAAGAACAACATTAGGGTGAAGGAAAATGGATTGACACTTGCTTATTTACATTTACCCTAATAATAAACTAATGTATAATATCAGCTTATAATAATACATTGAATAAAAGGAAAATAATCAGTTGCTTTATGTAGAGAAAAAAATGGTCTATTCAACTCAACCAATTTGAATCTGAATTTATATTTTCTAATACACAAATGATTTTAATGCCAGATTTTTTAGCCCAGCATAGATTGATAGGAATTGATTGTAAATCTCCACACATTTATCACCATACAGTAATTATTAACATTAAGCTGAAATTTTTTAAATGACTGATTCAGTTCTGATGAAATTTGAATAGGAACACCTTTTCAGAATCTTAAGTTGAAACATTTTAAAAATGATTGACTTTGGCCATTCAATATTTAAAAAAAAAGTGAATATTTATATAAATAATACAATTTTAGCTTAATGAAAGAAGTGGTTTGAGAAGAGAAAATATTCCTTATACAAATTATTTTTTTTTTTTTTTTTTACTATAAACTTTGAATGAAAATACTCAAATTTTGCATCTGTGATTTAGTGTGTTTCTATAAATGCTAGGGACCTCCAATTTTAACAAATTCAGCAAGTTTAAATTTTAATGAACTAAATACTGTATATGTATTTATTTTTTAAATCCAAACATTATGCAGATATCAAATTGTATCTAATGTGCTGATAGGATGATTCTGGTACCATCTACTAAAGCTTGAAATGGACAACTATGAAGTTTTGATCAGTTACAGTTGTGAACTATGTATCCTTTTAGGACAGCAAATACAGTCATTTTTGAGTTCATTTTGCAATGGTCTTTTATCAAGTCCTTCATTTATGATATCAAGAATTTAGGAGATAGTCTATTCTAATCTCATCTTTTTCTGACTGGACTTTGGCAATTCATAGTGAGGCTGCCTTCTGCCTTAACACATACTTTCTAATCATCCTTTATTCATGAATGATCTTTTTTGTATTGTAATGCATATATGCCATTGGCAAATATCTACCTCTGTTATATCTCTAACCTACTTACCTAGTATCCTCTTTGGAGCAACACAAAAATGTCCCCTCTGTTTACTTTGTTGCTGCTTTTACACCTTGACAAATGCTATTTACTACATTTTTTTCTCAATTTAACTAGAGTATAATTGTCATTGAGTGAAAAGATTTTTATTTAGTTTTATTATCATCATCAGGTTTTAATGGGCTGGGTTATTTGAATAGGTCTTTTGTTAAAATTTAAAGAGCAAAATTAGTACATTTCCAGATTTAATACTTACTTCCTCTGATGTTAATTGTTTAGATAGGCAATTTCTTCTTATCCCTTTTTCACCTTCAGTTATTTAACATTGTTTTCTTATTCAACACCCAGTCTTTTTTTTTTTGTAGCACTTGTAACCTTACTGAATTTCCAACACTTTAGAGATTAGTGTTTTGAGAGAATGAGTTTGCATATTGGTATAGTTTTTTTTCTTTTCTAATCAGTCACAAAAATCACTTTGAACTAAACAGAGAAAAATTAAACTGTTTTTTAATTTATTTATTTACAAGATCTAAAAAGTTTAATTCTTGATTGTTTCAACTATAAAATATCAGATAAGCTTTTTATATATATATATATATATATATATATATATATATATATTGTGGGTATCGGTGATTTTAGTGTATAGTGTCATTTGTAGTTTCCTGTTTTCATCTATGTAAATGCAGGTGTCTAAAAATGTTACCAATCTTGTGGATTTTTCATAGTCAAACTTAATTGAGTCGTGCACTGTGTTTAGGGTCATGAGGAATTGGATAAGTTTGTCATCACTGCCCGTGTATACAAAGAATATACCATCGATATATCTTGCATAGAATACACAGTGGCTACCGAGGATAGATGTGGAAATCTAAATAATAATAAAAACGAAAGAATATTAATATACAACCCAGTGTGTCTGAAGATTTTAATTTTTAATATTTTTTATTGTTATATATATAATAAAATTGTCAAAGACATAAGTTGTACACAAATTGTAAAATATAAAATACACAATAGTATGCAGTATAAAAAAGATATAATTTATACTTTTCTTTTTTCTTTTTTAGCTTTTACTGCACCTGCAATTTGCACTTTCATATGTTCTCACAATTTTAGGCAATTGCACAATCCACCATCTAAAATCGTGGGAGCATATGAAAGTGCAAGTCATAGATATAGCAAAAGCTAAGTAAAAAAAAAAAAAAGTTTTTTGTACACATTTCAGGTAGTTTTCAATCAAATTTTAACATATATTAGTGTGTATGTTTTACTTAGAATATATAAAAAAAAAATAGCTACTTTTGTGTGTGTATAACAAAAAACCACAAAATAGCAACAATAATTGCAATTGTTAAAATAAAAACTGCCCACTTACTAATAAATGTCTAATTAATAATATATAAAGCAACTGCATTAAATAACATTAGCACAGAAGAAAAAAATTTATATAGAAGCTACTGCAATAATTTTTAAAGAAAGATTTAATAATCATAAAATGCAAAGCAAATGATAAGCAAATAACATATCAAAATATATAGATGAAGAAAAAATATATCAATTAAAATTAAATGGGGGAAATCATAAAAAAGTACCCCGATATAATATTAACAATAGAAAATGTAGACTATTTAGAAGAAAAATTTAATATAATAAATGTCAATCATCAAATTAAATTATACAGTTGAAAAACAATTATGTTTATGAACAAACATGCAAAAATATGAACATGTGCACATTCGTAAGAGTTTAAAAAAAAAAAAATAGATGTAAATATGAAAAAAAAAAGCCCTTGAAAAGAGGATACAGTACCACGAAACTGCAGAGTCAACAACAATAAAACAAAATAATTCTTTAGATATATAAAGGATGCAAAAAATGGTATACTTTTCTCTCCCTGTATCTATGAAATTGTCATTTTAACCTTCAAGTTTAATTTTGTAATCTAAAATGCTTATTGTTAAAGTATAATTTTTTAAACTATTCCCTTAAAATGCGTTAAGTATAAATTAGATTTGATAATTAGTAGCAAATAATGAAATTTTAAATGAGTTAATCCCTTTTAGTTCAGTGAATGTTAAAAAAAAAAGATTGTCACTAGAATATCAGTCAGTAATTTATTTGTTTTATTCTTTGACGGTTTCTTAAAGGGGTGCTTAGATATGATTGGGTTGTATTTTGATTATAGTTTTATACATGTCTGAAATTTATTTAATTTGCTAATAGATTTTATATGGTATTGTGTAATTATTTATATATGGTATTGTGGAATAGACACTATTTTTAGAGCTTGGTTGTAAAAATTACTATGTTTATAGAATATTTCTTCATTTGTGGAATTTTTACTAATTCTCTTCTCAATTGATGAAGGTATGTGCTTAATTATAGAGGGAGGATGATTTGACCTGGGGTGTAACTACAAAGGATTAGTATTGGGTTTTCTGTAAGGTAGGTATGTTATTCATTAAGTCTAATGTTATGTCGAGGAAATTTAGCCTTTTCAATTTTGTGTAAACCCTAATTTTTAAATTTTCATGTATAAAAGAAAAAATGGCAGTTTTATAGCATATTTATAAATACAAAGAAAACTACTTATTGTTGCATTGTTTCTTTTTATTACTGTTAAATTTTTTGTTCTACTTTAACCAAAAGAAAAATGCTTCAGACCATCTGGGAAAATTGATCTTCTTATTTTGTAATACTTAAGTTATCTACTGACAAACAACCTACAGTTTATCTGAAATGATACAAACTAAATAATATCTTATTCTACCATTCTGAGAGTTTTAAATCTTCAAAATCCATCACTGGTTTCCACCAACAGAATAAATATCAATTATATGACTGATAAGGCTACTTTATGACTGGCTAGTATGTTTTTTATTGTCCCTCACATTATTATCTCAAGTGTTTTCTTTCATTTTACTTACCAGTCATAGGGGCTCCATAAAGAAACATTCTCTATCTATTAAGACTTAATAAATGCTTAAATCAGTTTAACTGGTTCTACCAGTTAGTGTCTCAGGTTATTTAAAAACAAAACCATCAAGATATTCAAAGTCCTGTTTCAATATGTAGCTTGTGTAAATTTTCTTAATTCTGATGATCTTGCCAATTTTCATTGAAACAAATCTGTATGCCAACCCTGCTTCTAAATCCGTTTTCTCCTGCAGGATTAAAATGTTGAGTTTCATCCATTACTTACTAGCAAAGTCCCACATGACAGAAATCAAAGAAGCATATTTCAAATGGTGGGCAAACATGTATCCCCCATTAAATTGCTATCATTCAGAGCAAGCAGAAGCTAACTTTAAGTTGTTTATCTACATTATTTGAATTCTATCGTAAAATACATTAAAATGGGAGCTGTCTTTTGACTGGACTTTGTGAACAGTTCCATAACAAAGTAAATCTTACATACTTATTGAATCAAGTGGCTTATTCAGTTTTTAACAAATCACTTACCTGATGTATAACAAGCAATTTTGGCCAATTTAGTTATGAGTATCTTGTGTGCATAAAAAGAAAAAATAAATAAATAAAATAATTCCTAAACCATTTTGAAGTGAAGATTTGTCAATGTTTTTACCAATGTATTAAAATTTTTAAATCTGTAAATTGTTCTGTATATTCCATTAGCAGAAATTAATCAAATAATGAAACCTGTACTGCTAATAATAATGCCCCTTTTATTTATTTTTTAATGGCAATTAATGCTATACTTGCAGTATCCATTTTTTGATTTGCTACTAATTAAGAACATTACCCTTCTAAACAAAAGTTTGTGTAAAAACCATACAAAGCAATAAATTCCAATATTGTCTAAATTGATCAACATACAAAATTTCAAGTACTTAAATTTTAGCTTGAGCAATTTCAGAAAAATCTGATATTCTGTTTGAAATGCTAGTCATTATCAGAATTCAAACTTTGCCAAAAACTAACATTAAACCTGAACAAAAGAATCCTTCTCTTATCAATGTATATAATACTTGTTAACTTCCTTGAGGCTTAGTATTAATTCTCTTAACATGATTTGGTGATAAGTCACTCTTTTTGTCCGCAGGTTTCTGTAAGGTAACTGTTTCCCTAATTTGTTGATTTAGAAGTTTGTTTGTTTTTGCATGATGTAACTATTGATGACATTCAAGAAAACTTCATTCAATAGTGAAGTAAATTAATAAAGTAAAATAATCATAATGAAAATTCTGATTTTTTTTTTCCCCTCCCCTTTTATTCAATGTATTAAAAAATGACAATTGAAGAATAAATGACAAACTTAATAACTGAATTGTTTTCCATTGTTCCAGGTGGAGAACATTTTGCGAGAAGATAGTGGAAATTATGTCCTCTGTGATTTTGGCAGTGCCACAGCAAAGTTCTTGAACCCTGTCCAACATGGAGTCAGTCAAGTGGAGGAAGAGATTCGCAGGTGAGGATGATAGGTTTTGTTTTTTGTGTATATAATAATAAAAAAAAAACTTTAAAAAATGAAGTGTATGCTATCAGATAAAAACACCAAAACTTATAAGAGAATACATAGAAAAGTAAGTGGATGTTTCCAGAGAGCCTGGAGGGATAGTTGTTTTTGTGAACATGAGGGTCAGTTAATGCAGTGAGTAAGAGAAAACTAATGTATACTTAACACAAGAAAGAACAATAATTATGATCCTTAATGATGTCAAGGTGCATAAAATGATTTTTATTTTGTTTAAAGTAAATGTTTTCCACGCCTATTTCCTAAGGTCATTATAATTCCTGTAGATACATATAATAAAAAGATAATTTGAGACACTAGCGTGGATTTTATAAGCAAGTGAAATCTTCAGTTGATAACCTGTTAGAATATGAAGCAGGGATTGACAAAGTTAAATTTTTAGAAGATGGGTGGAAGTTAGATTAGTTAGTTATCTCAAACCCCAACCACTGGGGGTTCTTCAATTATGGCCCTGAGGCGGTTACAGTCAAGAATTTTGGCCAACTAATGAATCAGAAACTCCCTTCTTGAACTACTCTTGAGAGACAAATTTATTGTTGAAAAGACCCAAGAAGAGTAGATTTTCTAACTTAAGAATTTTTGCTTACAAAACTGTCAAGTTAATAAAGATTAAAGTTTGGTTAGAGGTCAGACACTGTTTCCTTGTCTGTACCAATCCAAAAATCCATTAAAGGTTGTGTACATTATGAGAACTGATCAAATGACTATGGTTAGAAAAACTACAGCACTGCCAATGAAGGGAAAAGGGTTAATGTTGAAACTTGTAACCAAAACTAAATAAACATATTGTGTTTTTTATTACTTTTTTTTCTTGTGGCTAGATTCATTATTCTTGACAAACATTTCAATCAACTTCACCTAAAGACTGCTTCAGATGTAAAATAAACAAAACCTAGGTGAGGAAGCTGACTGCTGAAGAGATACCAAATAATTTATTGGAGAGGATCAGTCATAAAATAGCATCATTGGTTCAGGCTGTTTCAGTGTAATGTTCAATCACAGTAATCAAAATGAATAAAAAAAAAAAAAATAAGATAGTGCAGTAGCCAAAAAATTTCCTGAAGAGAAAACAACTAAAAAGAGAGAAAAATTATGATTTCATATTCAGAAATTATATTATATTTATTTTATTTTATTTATAAAACAAGGTGTCTTATAAAATGTGGGCCAACATCCTCTGCTGTTACAAACAAGCAGTTCAACAGTGCTGTAGTATCCCTACCTAGTTGGCTCTACCATTCTCTTCTTCGTACTGAATATCACAACCTTTGTGTATACTATATACAGGTCATAACCCAATCTGTTACCAAAGATATAGCATCACTAATGGAGAGGAGTAGGGTTACCAGATTTGCCAAATTGAAATACAGTGCACCTTGTTCATATTAAATTGAAATGGTTTCTAATATTTTTAGTATAAGTTTGTCTAGCACTACTTAAGTAGACTGGTCCACTTTCCTTTTTTTTTTTCTTTTACAAAAAGGTTTTGTCATTAAAGAACAAACAAATGTATACAGTAGTGTTGCATTTTTGTATAAAGAACATGAATTCACATACATTAAAAGTTTTTAAAAAAATACGCAAATATCAATGACATAAGCACATTTTCAAGGTACATCATTTATAATTAAAAATTAAGTACAGATAACTCTGTAAATCTCTGAGATTGATTTTACACTGTATTAATATTATGAATTATTTCTAAATCGATAAAAAAAAATAATACTTTTCAATTCTGACAAACATTGTGGCTTGAGGAAGATGTAATGGAAATTTTTCACTATTTTTTTACAAGTAGACCAGTCTTATTTAAGTAGTAGCATTTGTCCCATGCAGTGATAATATTTTTATTTCTCTCTCTCACACTCACACACACACACATTAGAAATCATTTAAATTTAAATGGGGTGGATAAGAAAAAAAATATATTACCCAAATATTTGCTAGCCATAAAACAATGATTTTCTGCAGTAAAATTAATCCTGGCTAATGTGAATTTATTTACAATAAAGATAAAAGATTATTTTTGAGCAAAATACAGCACTTAACTATCTTAGTCTCTCACTCTCCCTAACACTCCTATATTCCAGGTGTTATCATATTAGTTACCAACTCAATGTAATATGGGATGGTTTAATTAT